ACAAAATATGAAAAAAACGAAAATTTAGGGGATGAAAATTTTTTTGTTTTCATTATAATAGCTAAATGCTCAAAATATTTTTGGGTGTGGGTTAGATTAGTATGGCTGGATGTTCTTGGATTATTACATTTAAAACGATACTTTCGGAAAAAAGCACGAAATATAACGTATATTATTGCAATTATTGCTATTTATATCTATTTGGACCGTGTATTTATTTATGTGCGTATATATGTATCAAATAAAACACCTCTTTGAGGTAAAATTTTCGAGTGACGAAAGCTGAGCTAGAAACACAAAATTTATGATATCAATTTCGTGACGAGAATTATACGCATTTTTTAACTGCCTTTGATACGTAGGGAAAATCTTTGTTGGTGGTGTTTTATTTGATATCAATTATTTTGGGGTAGCAAATTTAAAATCGGCGAAAATACAAACAATAATCTAAATGTTTTATTTTTCTCAAATAAATTGCTAAAAATATTATCTAAATCTAAACTATGTATCCAAATCGATGTGTCCATTGAAACATATAATTTTTCGAATACGGAATAAAGCGAAAAAGAATGATCATATTCTTTGTATTCGAAAAAATTATGAGACATGATAAAAACTTATCAACTTGGTACCAACTTTGGATACAACAAACAACTGTATTCGTCTGATTGTCTTGTAGATTATTTTTGTTAGGATTTCTACCGGGTGTGGGGCGCACACATGTGCTTTTTTTAAGAAGTTTTACTTCTGTCACGTGTACGGTGTTGCACTCGTGCCATTAAACTAATGCTTTTTTCTCAAGTAGTTTTACTCAGTGGCAATCTATACATATGTATGTAAGTTGTAGCGGCATATTGGGTGAACTAAATGTATTCAAACATGCATATTTATGTACAACTGTAGGTAATATTGTACGCGTCTTCCCAGGTAGGTTAAGTGCGGGTGATAAACCCATGTAGCATAGTTAAATACTGTGTACATGCCTGCAATTAAAATGGGGAAAAATGTTACAATTTCGGCATATGACTGAAAAGAAAACTCTAAAATACACACAAATTGTGGTTTCCAAGACATGTACGAAGTGATTAGCACAGCTGCATCCTTCAACTTGTCAACTCGCGGGAAATTCCTCGATTTGCAGGGAATTTCGGTTTAAGTGGCAATCGGGGAATGGGATTTTTTTTTTCGGGGAACTGGGTATATTATTTTTATATCTTAAAGTAACCAAATTAGACGGATATGTTAATTTTTAACCATTTGACCCTTTTTAGAGCGACATTTTTTCAATTTGAATCGCAATATCTCCACAACAAGAGTTCTCCCAGATATAGGCTATATACCAGATGAAAGCTAAGGTTTTGGGCTAGTTTTGTGGAAACCTATAATAAAATCGACTGACCAGTTTTTGAGAAAATGCCCGAAATGTATATTTTCAGCAACCCGATTTTTAGGTTTCAGGCGATAACGTTATGACATATTTATACTTTATAAACACAAAATATAGCGTTAGATAGCTTGTTCGAAGACCCTTCCACTGATATCCACACAAATGACATGGACTGAGTTGTGTGGCCTCAGTGGTAGTTTAAAAATTGCCTTTTTCGAATTTCAGGCAGCAGCCACGCCCACAAAGGCATACGAATCAAAACATCCTGGAACAAAACCTTCTTAGTTTTTTTTGTACTTTAATTCCTGAAAGTTTGAAAAAAATTAAATGATGGTACGTACAGACGCCACATACATACCAAAGCATCTCGTAGTGGAGACACGAACCAAAACACATTTACCTCTATATCTTTCCAACTAGTGGCCGGAACTTAATATATAAGGTATCGTTTGAAAGGTATTAGCCTATAGAATAACACTAAATATGTTGGGTGTGCCCACATGCCCCCTTAAACCGGCAAAAGCAAAAAAACGTTTTTTGTTTCGCAACACTTTAGCCTAATTTTTATGAATCTTTTACGAAGCTTGAATATATTTTCTGGACACACTCTGCAAGACCTTTCAACGATATATCAAACATGTCGATTGGACGTCTGGATAAAAACTTCCAAATCTCGTGTATATATAAGCGAGTCATTTCAGCATGCTACTGTTGCTGCTTTCGTCACTCGCGCGCACTGCCGTGCGCTGTGTTAGGAAGTTCATTTGTTTTATGCATATACATATCTACATAAAAATAAATGTAATAAATGATATCTATAAATTTACATTATAATTGCAGTTTATTCTCGATAAATAAACCAACAATTAAATTAATTGTGGCTAAAGCTTATTAAAACGTTCAGTATTTCCAGTAAAAAAAACTTTTTCATTGGAAATTCATTAGAATTTTTAATACGCATTTCACTGCTAATTGTATACTTTTCATATTATTTCTACTACCATTTTCGCAAAAGCCGATCTCATTCTTCCCCTTTTCCCTACTTCCAAATTACAAATCTTGATAAAGGAGTGTCAAACTTGAGCTGTAACAAATTGCATAGCCTTGTATTATTGAATCATGTGCCGGTAGCATTTTTTCGTGAGGAAAGAATGAGAAAACAGGCTGCAAAATATCAGAAATCGAAATTCCCAACAACGAAATAATAGCAATTTTTTCTTGACCGTTTCCTTAGCAGCTGAATCGAAAAATTTAATATTAAGAAAATTGACTCTTCTAACAGTTTATTTTATACTCCTATTCGGCTTTGTTTACTTTTAATTGAGAAATGTCATCGCCGCTGGGAATGCGCAATTTTGTATTCTACAATTTTTGCAGGTACTCGTAAGTGTCCTCTGTTAGGGCAAACTTATAATGCGCATTTATGTGCTAGTTAATCTGCATCCGTGTGCCAATCGTTTTAGGTTAATGTCCGAGAGGAAGCGAGAAGCGATTTGAAGCTTGAAGCGATAATAGTTCAAGCCAGAAGCAATGCTATAAGGTGTCAGAGTGAAAGCGGCAAAGCGAAGCGATCTGCTGCATTCGTTTTTGTGAGTTCAGTATTAACGATGGATTCCGACGAGGAGTTTTTTTATTTCGATGGGTGCATTTAACACTTTTTTTTCAAAAAGAAAAATTGGAATACAGTAAAACCCGATTAACTACCTCACGAAAAATGTCAGCTTTTTGAGGTACTTAGGCGGGTTGGGTACTTAAAAGAACCCGCTTAAGTACCTCGATGCGGGTACTTAAGCGAACATACTTACTGATGTAGTTACATATTCTTGTTAACTTACACAAATACTTGAATAACAACATTTAATGAAGTATACATAGTTTAAAACCAAAATCGTAGCATTTTGTAAACACATCAACAAGTAAAGGGAAACTTTTTTTAAAAAAATTTAGTGCAATGGTGTGTAATTTTTACAAGGATTAAATTGTTTAAAAAGTCAAAGTTGGACATATCATTTTGTACCAAATTCACAATAATATTGTTTGCCACTTATGTTTATTTATTAATTTTTAAGATTTTTCAATCAATTAAAAGGCAGTTCATTCCCTAACATATACCATATAAACCTAAGCTTAATATTTTGTCGAACACTTAAAAAAAATAAAAATAAAATCATCATAATTTCAAACTTTTTTCTCCGAAGTGGTTTTTGAGTATACAGTTTTATAGCCCATTCAATTTAGGCTAATAATGTGCAAGTTTCAAGTGGCTAAAAGTTACCGTTGATTTTTTAGAATTTATTTTACCGAAGGTGTGTAGCGCTGCTACTGAATTTCAAAATACGTAAATATTTTAACAGCCAGTTTCACCAAACTATTTAAGTGGAAATTAACTTTAATTTAATTTTTTATTTAAATCTCATTTTAATTATTTTCAGTTTCAATAAACTATTTATTTAAGTGAGTAAAAAGTGGTTGTAAAACAGACTAGGACTAGCTTTCGCTTTCATTTGTACTGAGAGCTTTTGAAAGCTTTGGCACGCTGTGTTGTAAAAGCACGGCTGGTATACAAGTAAGCAGCAGATGCACAATGATCAGGTGATTAAACGTGTAACACCTCTGAGTGTGGTTATTCTGATTTAACTTTTATTTAAGTGCAGAGCATAGGTCACTTAAATCAAAATTAAAATTGATTGGTGAAACCGAAATTAAAGTAATTTTCACTTAAATTATTTGGTGAAACTGGCTGTAAGGAATTTTAAAAGACCACTTAAAAAGGGAAAATTATAAGTAAAATTGTAAATGGGGCATGAAAAATTGTGGTACTTAGGCGGGTTGGGTACATAAGCGGGGAGGTACTTTAGAGAGGGACTTTCTTCAGAATACATTAAAAAATTCACGGTGTCCAAAAATGTTGGTTACTTTAGCGGGTTAGGTACTTAAGCAGGTTTCACTGTACATCCAATTAACGAACAAAAGAAAACAAGTGAATTCAATTTATATTTAATTAAATCGATTTACTATTTCACATTATTTAAATAAAACACGTGCTTGCGTTTTGAAACATTCCGCCGCAAATAAAATTGTAACGAAGGTACGCGAAATTACACCTTTCATTGAAAATAGTCACCGAAAACAACAAATACAAATACAGCAAAGAGAGTTCAAGCGGTAAACCATTGCACAATCTGCTTTGCCGCTTTGCCCTCTCGAAGTCGCTGAAAGTCGCTTTGCTACTCGCTCTCACTCTGACACCTTTTAGCGCTTTGCATATGCATACACTTGCGGTTTATAGCTAGAAGTAGCGCCATCTTATATCATCGCGTCTCGCTTCCTCTCTGACATCAACCTTAGGCGGTATTTTTTAATTTTATTTGTTTGTACAGATGTATGCATATAAATCTGACTATAAATGTGATCTGTAATAATTTTCTCATTAGCATCACTTGAGTGGCAATTTTTTATAACCCTAATTCTTCCCACCAACTAGAATAAATGTTTGACGCAGAATACGCTTTGTTTACTTACGTTTACGATAAAATGTGTATTAATTTTGTAATCTAAATATCTACATATATACTTGTTTCATATATGTATTTGTAAATATGCAGGTACTTACATTGGGGACATCCTCTTTTGCATGTATTGGCTGTAAGAAAAAATAACGTTTGCTCAAATTAATCCATAATGTCCAAACTATCTATTATGTGCATGCACATGTATTAGATACTTGAATTCATGTAAATACTTATGTACTGTTGTGTGTGGCAATTTTTTTATTGAAGTTGTTGCTCATTTTCAGTCAAATCGTGAACTTTTTTTGTATGGAAGAAAATGCACAACACCGTCAGCAACAAAAGTTGTCATAAATCAAATATCATATATGTAATACTCCTATATTGGCAGTAAGAGCTAGTACCGTCCGAAAACATTACATTACAGATATATCAATAAACACGTACAAAAGAAAAGGAACACATTCGTTTATAATTAAACATGTACACAACACATACACAAAAACGGCACTCACGTACACAATGCATACACAAAAACCGTACTAGACTGTCTCGCTTTGATTTCGGAATGCTTACACATTGAGAAGTTAGCTTACTGCCAATATAGAAGTATTACATATCAAATAAAACACCTCTTTGAGGTAAAATTTTCGAGTGACGAAAGCTGAACTAGAAACACAAAATTTATGATATCAATTTTGTGACGAAAATTATACGCATTTTTTAACTGCCTTTGAAACGTAGGGAGTCTTTTTTATTCATACGAATCGTTAGAAAAGTTCTGTTTTTTATTTTGTGTTTCTAGCAGTAGACGCAATTTTGCAACGTTCCGAATAAATAAAAAAAAAGATTTTCCGTACGTTTCAAGGGCGGTTAAAAAATGCGTATAATTTTCGTCACAAAATTGATATCATAAATTTTGTGTTTCTAGTTCAGCTTTCGTCACTCGAAAATTTTACCTCAAAGAGGTGTTTTATTTGATATCAATTATTTTGGGGTAGCAAATTTAAAATCGACCAAAATACAAACAATAATCTAAATGTTTTATTTTTCTCAACTAAATTGCTAAAAATATTATCTAAATCCAAATTAAGTATTCAAAGCGATGTGTCCATTGAAACATATAATTTTTCATATCTATACTAATTATATAAAGAGAAGTCCCTTTTTTTGTAACAGGTAATCTCGCGAACGGCTGGTCCGATTTTCATGAAATCTTGTATACAAAATAGCTTTCGGTAACCACCATGTTTTAGGCTAAAACAATTTTACTTTTTTCGGGTAGGTGGACCAGGGACCGGTCTATTCACAAAAATCGTATTATAGTCCGATTTGCTTAAAATTTAGTACGTAAGTAGCTTTTTAGCATATATTAGCATATATGACCCATTTTCCCGGGAAGTGGTCCAGGGACCGATCTATTCGAAAAAGTCGAATTTACGGTCCGATTTGCTTAAAATTCGGTGCGCGGGTAGCTTTTTAGCATGTATTAGCATATGTGATAAATTTTTTCCGTGAAGTGGACCAGGGACCGATCTATTCCAAAAAAATTTTATTTATGGTCCGATTTGCTTAAAATTCGGTACGTAAGTAGTTTTTTAGCATATATTAGGATATATGGTCAATTTTTTCCGAGAAGTGGACCAGGGACTGATCTCTTCGAAAAAATCGTATTTACGGTCCGATTTGCTTAAAATTCGGTACGTAGGTAGCTTTTTGCCTGGATAAGCTTATAGATTCCTGTTTTCCAGGGACCGAACATAACAGGTATTGATGAAAACTGTCATGGAAAAATTCGCTATGAAGGAAATGTTCTACAACTAAGTGAAACATACCAATCGATTTCGTTTTGCACCGAGACTCAAATTTGAAAATAAATTTTTATTTGCAATTTTTATGCAAAATATAAAAAAATAACAATTATATTTGATTTTTATATTAGAAATCCAAAATAACAATTATTTTTGATTTGTATATTATATGGCTTAGATAACAGTTATTGAAGAGTTTTATTTATAAAAGTCATCAATAAAAATCAGTCAGTGACTTTTACTTTTAAAAGTCATTAATATAAATCAGTGACCGACTTTTATTTTTTAAATCAATCGTATAAAAGTCATTAACATTTTTCGCAGTTAAGAAGGTGTTGGAAAACAAAAGTTTAATACGACATATTCAATGACTTTTATAAGTATGATTGAAAAAATAAAGATCAGTGACTGAATTTTATTTATGACTTTTATAAATAAAAGTCTTCGTTAACTGTTATTTAAGACATATAATTTAAAAATCAAAAATAACTGTTATTTGCAGATTATTTAAATAAAAATCAAAATTAATTGTTATTTTCGATTTATAAAATAAAAGTCAGAAATAACGGTATTTAAAGAGTAATTAAATAAAAATCAAAAAATAATTGTTAAAGAGTGATTTTTTTAATAAAAGTTGTAACTGTTACGGTCCCTGCTGTTTTCCAATTTTCATGCAATTTTGAAGATAAATAGCTTTAAGTAACGACCATATCAAGGGGCGAATTCGTCACTAGGCAAGATTTTTTTGCGCCAATCAGAAACAACGGATACTGTCAAAATATAATTAAAATATGTAATATATCTGAACTAATATATATTTAGAAAGCCGTTTGTTAGTTTTCGCAAGGCTCGAGAGCGGCTGAACCGATTTTTTTGAAACTGCCACCTGCCGCACGTGTCCCAAGGATGGTTTTAGGCTGAAAAAAATCCCTATGTAAAGGGGGCGTGGCATCTTCCATACAAACCGAATTTTTCATACTGCCTATCTTTGGAAGTGTTCATGGTAGAGTTCTGGAACTTGGTATGGAGATATACGAAATCAATCGCATACTCATGAAGAAGGAGGGCAGCTGTTGGAAAGGGGGGCGTGGCACCTCCCATATAAATCGAATTTTTATACTGCATATCTCTGAAAGTTATTCATGGTACAGTACCGGAACTTCGTATGGAGATAGTATATAGTTGAAACCAAGCCCATACTCATTTAGAAAATTTGGGCTATTTAAAAAGGGGTGTGAGGCCTACAAACTGACCGACCTTTAGCTATCTTTGAATGAATTTTTTTATTCTTCTGTAGGTGTGTTTGTGAGTGAAATCCTCCTAAACGGTTGTACGGATTTTAACGAAACTTTTTGTGTATTTGAGTGGGTCTCTGGATGGTTTAGTTTCACAATTTAATCCGACAGTTGGCGCNATTGCAAAAACGTGCTACCAAGTGGTGTTGAAGTCGAGCTATTACTAAAAATAGTCAAGTGAGAAAAGGGGCCGTGAAGGTCAGATTAAATCGACCTGTTGCACGATTGAGTATATCGAACGCTCCTGCGTTGCGATTGGCCCAATGGATGTGATTTTCCAATATTATTATGCGTTCAGACTTTTAAGGTATTTCGTCTGAAAAAAGTATATATATATTGCATTTATGTAGAACAATGATTCGCACCCATTTTGAAATTGCCACCTACTATACTGTAAAGCTTCTAGGACATTCACTATAGAACCGGGTCATTGTTGCCGCCAGGGAGTGAAGAGGAAAAAATTTCTGATGAAAAGAAGGCAAAATTAAGTGCGCTCAGCGCATTTATACGAGGCGAAACGAAACACTGGAAGTTCGAAAGCGGTGTTCACGCAGGGCTGAGTGTGGGGTTCCATGCAGCACAGGGTTTCGTTTTAAGCGGAGTAAGTCGCTTAAACAATGAGAAATGATAAAAACTTATCAACTTGGTACCAACTTTGGATACAATAAACAACTGTATTCGTCTGATAGTCTCGTAGTTTATTTTTGTTAAGATTTCTACCGGGTGTGTGGCGCACACATGTGCTTTTTTCAAGAAGTTTTACTTCTATCACGTGTACGATGTTGCACGCGTGCTATTAAACTAATGTTTTTTTCTCAAGTAGTTTTGCTCAGTGCACGGTTAAAAGTTTCGGTTTTAATTTTAAACTTTTTGGACTACATGCATATATGACCAAACTAAATTCAGTTTCAAATACAAACCTTCCAAGATTAAAAAAAGAGAGCACCTATGTTGGGTTTGGAATTTAAACAGTTCGGTTTAAATTTTAAACCCAAACATTTTCATAATTAAGAATAAAAAATAAAAATAAAATTTCATGCTCCGTCTTATGTGGATTGAACCCGGACAGCTTAGTAGCAACCAATTGTATCAAGCATCTTTGCACACTCAGCTACAGCCACGCATGTAAATGTGCTTTCATATGTTGAGTTTGAATCAACACCACATTTCGGTGTGTGCAATACACATACATATTTATGTACAACTGTAGCAAATATTGTACGCGTCCTCCCAGGTAGGTTAAGTGCGGGTGATAAACACATGTAGCATAGTTAAGTACTGTGTACATAACTACAATTAAAACGGGGAAAATGTTACAAATTCGGCATATGACTGAAAAGAAAACTCTAAAATACACACAAATTGTGGTTTCCAAGACATGTACGAAGTGATTAGCACAGCTGCATCCTTCAACTTGTCAACTCGCGGGAAATTCCTCGATTTGCAGGGAATTNGTGGCAATCGGGGAATGGGAACTTTTTTCGGGGCACTGAGTATGTTATTTTTATATCTTAAAGTAACCAAATTAGACGAGTATGTTAATTTTTAACCATTTGACCCTTTTTGGGGCGACATTTTTTCAATTTGAATCGTAATATCTCCACAAAGAGAGTTTTCCCAGATATAAGGTATGTACCAAATGAAAATTAAGGTTTTGGCTAGATTTGTGGAAACCAAGAATAAAATCGACTGACCAGTTTTTGAGAAAATTCTCGAAATCTATATTTTTTGCAGCCCGATTTTTAGTTTTCAGGCGATAACGGTATGACATATTTATATTTCATAAACACAAAAGATAGCGTTAGATAGCTTGTTTGAAGACCTTTCTACTGATATCCACATCAATGACATGGACTGAGTAGTGTGGCCTCAGTGGTAGTTTAAAAAATTGCCTTTTTTCGAATTACAGGCAGCAGCCACGCCCACAAAGGCGTACGAATCAAAACCTCCTGGAACAAAACCTTCTTAGTTTTTTTTGTACTTTAATTCCTGAAAGTTTGAAAAAAATTTAATGATGGTACGTACAGA